ACCCAGAACCGCCCAGGCCTCCTAACTCCCTTTTAGCATCAGAGTTGTTATCTTAGTGGAGATTTCAATAGCTGAATGCCATTTGATGGTTTTTGTAGAGAGAGTCCAATCCAATCCAATCAACGCAGCAGCTGAAACGAAAGAAAAAAAATTGAAGCTTGAGTTGAGAGAGAGAAAGGCTCAAGACCGAGCCTTTGTAGCTTGGAAGCGGTTATAGAGAAGCATCTGTGTCTGCGAGTGCAAGCTTCGCGTTTGTTTTGGAATATATTTAAGGAGTATAGCCGGACGGCTATCGAATATGTTCAAAGCTTATAGCCGCACGGCTATACCTTGAAAATAATATATTTAAATAGTATAGCCGCGCGGTGATACTATTTAAATATACAATTTTGTCATGTTATTTTAAAATACTACTTTAGCAAATTAGGATAGAGTTATTTCTTCAATTTTTTTTATTTTTTATACCAGTGATATTGGGGAATGAGAGTTTAAATTCTTTCCGATACCTCCAATTCTAATGATTTCTAGCTATTAGTCCATTAGGTAAGAATAAAAAATGGATTTTATTTATAAGAAATAATACGGGTTAAACCCATAAATACAACAACAAAAAATATGGATCCACCAACATTTTGAGGATAAAAGAATCTTGAATTTCATAGTATAAAATTGCTTGTGTAAGAATTTACTTTCTAAAATGTATCCATCGTAATTATGAACTAAACCCAATGACAAGCTTTTTCTCATCAAAGAAGAGGGGAAAGAAACAGGCAAAGTGAGCTTGCACGTTTACAAAGTTTGTGAGTTAGAATTGCTCACCTTTTCTTTTTCTGTTTAAGCATTTGTTTTTGTCATAGTTGATGAGAGATCGTATTCTTTGTTTAATCTAAATTGTATACGTTGTTTTCTTTGCTAACTGATGAGAATTTATCACCCACCACCAGGCATCAAACTGATCAGATACTCTCAATTTCTTCTCTTCATTTTGGGTATGACCATTGTCATGTACATCACTGTGCTTGCCATCTTTATCGTTGTATGCCAAAATTCGTGGCCAACAGTATTTTTGCTGATTCCACTTATTTGGCTTAATATCTGGTACCGGGTATGTCATTCTTTTTATCATGCTGTTGGTATTTATCAGTGTAAGAACTATAATGTTGCAATGAATGTGTTCTTCTTGTTTAACAAATGTGTGTTAGACAGGAAAATAAAATATCTAGTTCTATGATCTTTGTCATGAATACTATTGGTCAATCCAACTCTTGTTAGACAGATAATATAAATGTTTTGAACTGAAGCACACCCCTATGCAGATATACGAATGTGCTAGACTGGAAATGTAAATTTCTTGTTTGCCTCAATTATATGCTGAGATTTTGCTACTGTTTGGATTTTAGGGTTACTATCTTGCATCATCTCGTGAATTAACTTGACTCAATTCAATCACAAAAGCTCCTGTTATCCATCACTTCTCAGAGAGCATATCCGGAGTTATGACGATCACTCTTGCAGAATGCAGAACATGTTCTCCAAGAAAATGTTAAACTGGTTAACGCTAATTTACGTATGGATTTCCACAACAATGGGTCCAATGAGTGGTGTGGTTTCCATATGGAGATGCTTGGGAGTTTAGTTTTCTGCATTTCCACTGTATTCGTGTTCTTGTTGCCAAGCAGTATAATAAAGCCAGGTACATCCTTCTTCTTCTTTTGGTGCGACACTTAACAAGATGTCATAACTAGCACTTGATTCATGGCTAATTATGATATGGGATGCCTGAGTATATAATACTTGGCGTATCTGATATAAATTAGCATCTTATCTTGGCACATCTGATATAAATTAGCTGCAGAGAATGTTGGTTTAACTCTCTCCTACGGATTGCCCCTGAATGGTGTGCTGTTCTGGGCCATTTATATGAGCTGCTTTGTCGAAAATAAGATGGTATCGGTTGAGAGGATAAAACAATTTACAAACATCCCCATCAGAAGCAGCATGGGAGATAAAAGACCTGTGTTCCTCCTTCAAATTGGCCTTCCCGTGGCAATGTCGAGCTCAAAGACTTGCAGGTAGTTTACCTTCAGTTCTGTTTATATCTTCTGAACAAATAAAGTCAAATCTTACATTCCATGAGCTGCTACACTCTAGCCATTTGTCGTCCCAAATGGTATATTTGTAGTACACTCTAGCCATCAGAAGCAGCATGGGGTATGTTTGTATATGTTTGTCATCATTCACTCACTTAGATGAAACAATGCTGTATGTTTATTAACATGAAATCTTAATTTTCTTGTAGAGCCTTGAACGCTGCCAACTTAAAGACGAGGTAGCGGCAAAACCTGATAAACTCAATTCTTTAGGTATGTGACTCTCCCCATTATATACTCTCTCTCTGGAACTGAACTGCTAGCTAGCATAAGGATTAGGTACTGACTGTTTCCATAAAATTAAGTAGCTGATGACGGCGAAAACTGGAGCATGGGGCAAAGACAGCTTCTCTGTTTGGGGCGAGTTATATTGAAGCACAGCCGGCTCTTGTTCATGGACGAGGCCACGGCTTCAGTTGATTCACAGACAGATGCTGTAATACAAAGGATCATCCGAGAGGATTTTGTTGCATGTACAATAATCAGCATTGAAAATTCTCCTCTCTCTCTCTCATGCGCAGTTGAAGTTGGGTTTTAGAAATCAATTGCTCATCTCTCTCATGCTAGAAATCAATTGTTCATCTCTCTCGTGCGCAAGAGAGAAAATACTCTTAATCAATTATCTTTAAAGCGTATAGCCGAGCGGCTATACCGTTCGAATATATTCGAATATTTTAAATGTATAGCCGCTCGGCTGTACACTGAAAATATTATATTTAAAGCGTATCGCCACGCGGCGATACTTTTCGAATATTTGAAGAGTATAACCGCGCGGCGGTACTCTGAAATTGTTATATTTAAAGAGTATAGCCGATCGGCTATACGTTTCGAATACATTCGAATACCGGCTGTACTCTAAAAATATTATATTTAAAGAGTATCGCCGTTCGGCTATACTCTTCGAATATATTGGAATATTTCAACAGTATAGCCGCCCGGCGGTACGCTGAAAATACTATATTTAACGGGTATAGCCGTTCAGCTATACGCTTATATTTAAAAAGTATAGCCGCGCGGCGGGACTCCGAAAATACTATATTTAAAGGTATAGCCGATCGGCTATACGCTTTGAATGTATACGATTTTAAATTGCAGCCAGCTTGCTTCTGTTCCTATTCGAATTGGGAGTTTCTGAGGAAATTCGAAGTCTTTGGGAAATGGGTTTTTGTGATTGTGAATTTTTGATGTTAATCGAAAACCGATTGATGGGATTTTGAATTTGACGTGATTGGATTGGTTCTAAGGCCCTCTCATGGGGAGATTTCTTGGCAGGTTTGTGTTGCCTCTGCTGCTGCTAACAGGTATTTAAATGAAAATGCCTTTTGTTCATTTGTTTTAATAACCATGTTATTGTAGTAACAGGATTAAATTCAGGGCAACCATTTCTGGGCAACTCAGTTTTCTTGTAAATTCAGGGGACATGGGACCTCTGAATTCAATGGTGAAGTTGTTGCCACCGTTTGCGGTATCAGTGTTGATGCTTTCTTCAATGAACTTACCTGACGGCATCCAGGTATAACTGTTCGCCCGAATATAACATGCATCAGTAGTGATAAATTTCCTTTACCAGAGAAGCAAGCTAACTGGTAATGGCGATATTGACGATATTGACACAAGGCACGGAGTTCTGTTCTATAGAATTCATGTAAATCTGTTAGATGGTCTGGTTTCTTTGTTTGAACTTTTGTTTATCAATCTGAAGGCTGACGCAAATTGTGAGTTGGAAGTATGGAAATTCTTTCCTTTTGATCCGCTAAAGTCTGTTTCTTTAGATAACTAGTGGATATTCCACCAACTAGGAAAAGATGTATTGAGTGTTAGTATTACATGAATATAGTTAGACAGCATATTTTGGCATTTTCAAGGGAAAACGCATTTGAGCAACTCTGTTATTAATTATAATATAAAACGTAAGGAAAATTGCATTTTCCCTTGCTATTCCCTCGTTTAAGTTTTACTCCTTCATTGCTAGAGGCGACGAACTGCTCTGGATGAACTCAACATGCGCAGCATTTTTTAGGAGAATGATGTCATTTGTGTATGTCCTCTAACATATATTACTGGCCTAATCGAATCATGAAAAAAGAAAGGAATAAGTTAAGAACTGATCCAGTGTTGCAAATACTTGCCCTTTTCCAGGCTGAAGTTCGTGGTTTTCAACATGATGGTTTACATCTCCAAGCAAGAAGTCAGAAGTATGGAAAGGTTTGTCTTCTTTTTATGTATTGACTATTAGAAGGATGCTTCTGATCATTATCTTACTTGAGCTTGCTCATTCTATTTGGCTGTTATGGGATATTTTCTTCGTCATTTTTGCTTCCCTCAATCAATTTTAATTTGCATTGCTTTCATTGCATCCATCCGATGTGGTCCTATGATTATCCATTGTTTTGTTATTGGTTTTCATTATGATTGTAACCTGCATTGCAGCTTGGAAGGGGTCAATTGCTGACACTCCCTCCTTATCTGGTGAAAAGACGCAAGCAGCACTTCCATCATTTAGAAAACTATGGTATTGACCTGATAATTGGCTGTAATGGATTCATCTGGGTTGGGGAACATGTTCAAGTGACAGACGATATGGTAGTGGATCAAGTGAACAAGTCTGAACAAGATGATGCCAAACCTGATGAAAATTCCATTAGTCCCGAAGATCAAGAGAAAAACCACACTCAGCAAGAGACAAGAGAGAACATATGCAGGGCTGCAAACGCTATCCGCGTATTGTCTACTTTAGGCTTCAATATTACTGTAGAAGTAATCACGGAGACGGTTGATATGAGCACTTCTATAAATGTTGCTATACATGAAATGCTCGGTTCAGAGTTCTATGTTTTGGTTGCAGAGAAGGAGTCTGTAAGGCGAAGAATGACAAAAAAAAAGTGATGACTGTGTGTCCACTTGTGAATTCTGTTATAAGAGAGTTGTTCGTCCTTAATCCTTTTCTTTTATCTATTTTACACAATCCAACGTATTTTTGGAGAACCAGAGAACAGAAGAGTTATACTCCATCCAATCTCATCTCATTAAATACAGAGATGGCATCTTCTTCGTCTATTGAAATCATAGTTGTCTAAGACACTACGTTGCGATCATTCATGCACTGAAAGACTAATTTTGCATCTTCAGTAACCTTACACTTTGAACATGTCGAGATCAATACATTACAAACTGAAACATGACTTCCATATCCTGATTTAATTGCCAAGCCATGTATCTGTTTCCCAAGTTCTAAATTCATTTCATGTCCGCAAGCTGAAACTGCACTAGTAAATGAGACATGATGTAACCCCATCCCTTCTCCCACCATCTCAATAAAGACAAAAATCGCCTCAAGCCCATGATTTCCCTCTTGAGAGTAACCTGATAGTTTTGCATTCCATGAAACCAGATCCTCATTCGCCATTTCATCAAACACACTCCTAGCTTCTATTAACCGCCTCAACCTCGAATACATACTTATAAGTGCATTTCCAACAAAAACTTCACCATCTAAACCAGACTTAAATATAAGAGAATGCAGTTGTAATCCAAATAGAAAATCTTCATGATCCGCACAAAAAGCAAGAATCTTAGTATAAGTCACTGGATAAAAAACAACTCCATTAAAATTCATCCTATGAGCAAAATTCAATGCACCATCACTTGTTCAAAACCCCGAAAGAATAGTATTCCAAGAAACTATATCAGTATAGCACATAGTCTCAAAGATAAGTAAGGGACCATCAAACTGTCCAGCATTGGTGTACATACTCATCAAAGAATTTGAAATCGTAGTATACGAAGCAAACCCAGAAGAAACTGCAAACCCGTGAATTTGGCATCCGGGTTTGGGGTCCCCTTGACAGGCCTTGACAGCAAGGGAAACGGTAACTTCATCGATGTTATGAGACAAATGTAGTTGAAGTTGCTTACAGAACATGTGAAGGGCTATAAGGGTAACGGTAACTTCATCGAGTTCGTTTCTCTGTCTCTTCATTTCACTAGCGCACCACATTCCTCTGCGAGTGCAAGCTTCGTCTATCTTCATTTGGAACAAAAAGGAGGCGGCCAGACCTGCCAAGGACACCTAGGCGCCCTCTGCGAGTGCAAGCTTCGTCTATCTTCATTTGGAACAAAAAGGAGGCGGCCAGACCCGCCAAGGCCACCTAGGCGCCGCCTAGACCCACCAGAGCCGCCTAGAACCTCCCAGGCCGCCTAGAACCGCCCAAGACGCCTAGGCCGCCTAGGTGCCGCCTAGAACCGCCCAAGCCACCTAGGCACCGTCTAGAACCACCCAGGCCGCCTAGGCACCGTCTAGAACAGCCCAGGCCGCCTAACTCCCTTATAGCATCAGAGTTGTTATCTTATTGGAGATTTCAATAGCTGAATGACATTTGATGGTTTTCGTAGAGAGTCCAATCCAATCCAATCCAATCAATGGAGCAGCCGAAACGAAAGAAAAAAAATCGAAGCTTGAGTTGAGAGAGAGACAGAGAGGCTCAAGACCGAGTCTCTGAAGCGCTTATCTAGATGCGAAATGGCTGCGACTGGGAGTGCAAGCTTCGCGTTTGTGAATATATTTAAGGAGTATAGCCGCCCGGCTGTACCGTGAAAATGATGTATTTAAATAGTATAGCCGTTCGGCTGTACTATTTGAATATACAATTTTGTCATGTTATTTTAAAATACCACTTTAGCTAATTAGGATAGAGTTATTTCTTCAATTATTATTTTTATACTAGTGATTTTGGGGAATGAGAATTTAAATTATTTCCAATACCTCTTATTTTAATGATTTCCAGCTATTAGTCCATTAGGCAAGAATAAAAAATGGATTTTATTTATAAGAAATAATACGGGTTAAACCCATAAATACCACAACAACAAAAGGGGATCCACCAACATTTTGGGGATAAAAGAATCTTGAATTTCGTAGTATAAAATTGCTTGTGTAAAAATTTACTTTCTAAAATGTATCCATCATAATTATGAACTAAACTCAATGACAACCTTTTTCTCATTGCACTTGACAACCCTACTCTTCTGCTATGAGATATATCAGTTCGCGTTGTATGCTCTGCAGATGAAAAATTTGATACAAAACAGTCTAGCAAGAGAGAAGTGTTTTGAAATAAATTGAAGGTATCTGAGGTCATATGACATTGATATATATATATATATATATATATATATATATATACGAACTATTCTAAATGAGATTTCAAACAATGTGTTAGATGAGAAGTAGCATCTCATTCTTACATATACCATACTCACATGCACTTGAAATTCCCAACATTAAGAGGGGAGAAAAGTGCAATACCTCTGTTGTATCTCGCAAGCGTAGGAGATCCAACCTTTCTTGAGGACGCTGGTTTGATAAAGAAGCAAGTTACATCCAATCATATATTAATACCGGCAATCACAGCCCACAATATACTCAATTTTAATAAAGAGAATTATAAAGTTACCTAGAAGCTGAAACGCTAAACGCTTAGGATCTTCTAGTGTAGGCATCAGCTCTTCCACGCCGAGAAGTCTCTCAAATTGTCTTCAATCTGTAAAGAGATACTATCATACATCAAAAGGGCACATAGGTATACTGAACACAAGAATAGGGGAAGAAACCATTCTTATGTACACTGGGATTACATATAAATAAGATATGTTGATCTAGAGATAAAGATCCTCCCCAAATGTTCCAAGCAGAAGCTTCCTAAAGATGAAATCTGAATATGATAGACATTTCAGTGGAACAAAAGGTTTACCCTAATAAAACTAATCCTTCATTTCCAACCATTACAACTGACCACCAAATTGAAACATGCAAGCTCAGTCAGGTTGTAATATTAATCTGATTCAGGATATTCTTAAAGGTCATCCATATACCTATTATAGAGAACTACGAGATTTAACTTATGGAGATAACCCATTAAAAAAATAAAACAAAAAATAAGGTAAATTACTAGTTCATTCAATTGATGTCATTCCTGAGCATTTTACCTTGATGTGCTGATCTTTTACCCCGCCCTATCCATAACTGAGCATACTCTGCTGCATTATTTGTCAATTCCTGCAACTGGACAGGTATTGAAGTTAAACCATATAGGCGCAACCAATATGAGGGGGAAAAACATGGAAGAACTTTGTCCTGCATCTTCCTACAGTGATGCATGTTACACTTCAGGCTATTAATACATTAGCCACAGGGCTTTTTAGCAATGACATTATTAGACTTGATTCAGTGGCAACTACTATACATTTGAAGATTTACAACCAAATTCCATTAGGTCAAATGTCACATGTAAAATAAGATGCCTCATCCACAACACTTTAAGCTCTGATTATTGTATCCCAAGTTTGGACAATTGAAGTTGAAAACTACGCAACTTTGCATCTAGAAAAATGTGTGACAAGATTATTAATTAAATAAAAACAATAAAAGAAAACTACTCAAAAGCATTGTTAAGCACCAGATCAAGTTTAACTCAAGCTTCTTACTATTCTCTACAACAAAAAATTTAAAAATAAAATATAAAAGAAAAGAGCACACTCCAATAGAGAGATTACAGCAAACGAAATTGTCATGAACTTACGTTTGCTCTCTCTCTAGACCCTTCTGGTGGATATATGTCCTGTACTCATACGGTACCTGAAGAGCACATCAAAAGACAAAAAAATTGAACAAGAGCAGTAACTAAAGATCAAATGAATGGCTACACATCTCATAAGACAACTCACCCATCTTGGTCCCAAGATCGAATTATACGAAACCGTCAGCGACTTTCAGTATGCATGAAATAGTATTATTGTAAGTGCGTTGGATCATTATTAAAAAAAAAAAAAACATCATATCTTCAAACATCATAACTTGAATAATAATTTTTTTTCTTGAAAAGGAGGAAGCATGGTAGTGGAGTTTACAAATGACATTCTGCATACTAGAAAATTAAGAAGGAAAGGAGGAGGATGAAAGACCTACTTGGTAATTTCCACTTCACAAGCAAAATCAGCTATTGAACCTCTTGAAGAATCAATGATAACCTACAAAATTAAAAAACAAGCCACAATCAGTGAAACTTATACTTTGGGTCAAACTTTATGAACCTTGAAAGTTAAAAGGGAAAGAAAAGGACCAGTGACACTAATCTACCATTCCCATCCGACGGTTGCCTTCCATTATACTCCTTACCCGTTGTTTAAGTGACAAGGTACAAGCAAAAATCTATGAATATTCGACAAAAACAACAAAACACATGGATCACATGGACTGTAGAAAAGTACCAAGTAGGCATACAAAACTTGCCAGATAACATTTTCAACATAGTTATTTTGCAGCAAATGCACTTCTACGTTTAAATATTTTATGAATGTCATATGTGAAAAATACAAACTGCTAACCAACTTACCATAAGTCTATACCGAGGTTCAAAAATGGGTAGCGGAAACTTCTGAAATGGGAGGACACCATCCATTACAAAGAGTGGCATCAGACCAACACCAAAGTTTGTCATTGTATCATTCTCCAACTTCCTTTCGGCAAATTCCTCTGTGAAAATGTCATTAAGTGTCACAATGGGAAAAACAAAAAGAAGATATTGAGGTGTCAGAACTGAAGCAAACAATCTTGGTAAACTCTGAAAGCTATAACACTAATTAAGCACAAAAAATTAGAAAGCACATATCATCCTAATTTCATATTACTTGGAATTTTTATTTATTTCCAAATCTAGAAACCACAAATCCACTAATTGTTATACTATGTAAAAGTGAGAATGCCAGACTCAATCTATAATAGGTGGAACTCCTGGGGGATGCGCAACCACGTCCATAACAAACAGCATAGGTATAGAAAACCATAAAGCAACAATTCTGATGTCAAATAATACAAGCATCTCATTCAATTATTATAAGCACAT